CACCGGACAACGGGGGAAGGGTGCCAGCAGCCGCTCGGCGGGCGTCGGCTCAGCACTGCTCTTCCTCTCTGTGGGAGGTAAGTTGGGGAGAGGGGTGTCCCCAGCTCTGCCGGGGTCCCACCGGCGTGGGCACCCACCCCACGCCCCTCCATCTCCACAGGCGTCTTTGCCCCAACGCTCTTCTCCAAGGTGTACGGGAAGCTGGTCTGTGGTGAGTGCCACAACATCACCCAGAACCTGCTGGGCCACTACCTCTGCCACAACTGTCACTTTGACCTGGTGAGTGTGGACGCAGACCCCCAGGTGCTGGGGTTTGGTGTCGGGGATGTTCCGAGCCCAGCTGGCTCCCGCTCTAGTGTTGCGTGGTGGCAGCGGGGCTGTCCCTTGTCCCCTGCATCCCTGTTGACAGCTGCGCTCTCTCTTTACAGATGGAGAACAATGGCACCCTCTACTACAGCCATGTCCAGTGAGTGCCCGCTGGGGTGGGGACAGGGTTGTCCCTACATTGGGGTGGCACCTCCTGGGTTTGGTCTTGGTCCCGCATCCTTTCCAGGTCCCCCCTCCCCACTCAGTGAAGGACTCTGATCGACCACTCCATATCCTCCATCCCTGTGGGACCCCCCCAGCGTCTCCAGTTTGGACCCTGGTGACATTGAGCACGTGTCACCTGTGTCCCACAGACCCCTGGTGTACACAGTGTCTCTCCTGCTCCCTGCTGCCTACCTCATTGGCCTCTTCTTCACCTTGAAAACTCACTCGCACATCTACGACATCCACATCAGCGACTGTCACAGTGAGTGTCCCCAAACCGCGGGATGCCCTGGCTGCAGAGCTGGCTCTTCTGACCACTGCGGGGTGTCCCACCGCATCTCTGCTCTTTCCCCAGTGCCTGGCCATCACCACAGTGCTGTGGTCCACTGGTCTCGCTGGCGGGCCCTGGTCATCCTCCTGCTTTCCACCCTCTGCATGTCAGCCTGTGCCGACCTGGCCACGGAGCACATCAGCCCCATCCTCACCAACTCCACCATCTCGCAGGTGAGCGTGGGGATGGTGGTGAGCCAGGTTTGGGTGGCCCTGGGGACGAAGATCCCTCCAGGGATGCGAACCTGCCTCAGCTGCACTTTGATCCCCAAAAGTGTGTGGGGAAAGATGCTGAGATGCTCCACGCATCGAGGAGCTTGGTCGCCCAGGGTTTGGATGTGGTCAGCATCAGGCAATAAGCTTATGCTGATGTCACCCCTTCCCTGCAGTACTTCATTGGCGTCACCGTGCTGGCAATGGTGCCTGAGCTGCCAGAGATTGTCAACGGCATCCAGTTTGCCCTAGAAAACAATCTGAGCTTGAGGTGAGATGGCTAAATGGATTGGTTTTGGGGTGTCCTCCTTCAGCATGGTCCCCGTGCCCTGTCCCAGTCTGTCTTGGTGCCAATGATGGGCTGTCCAGCTTCATGCCAATGGTGGGCCAGCTCCCTGCCAGCTTGCCTTAAAGAGACCTTAAAGCCACCCAAAAAACTGGGCCCAAACCAGTTTGGGCTGCACAGTTTGGTTCCCCAAGGTGCGTTTTTATTCTCATTATGAGCTGAGTGACCCAAGAGCTGCCAGCGATCCGGTGCTTGGCAGCTCTTAAGTCCTCTGTCCTCCCCAGCATCGAGATTGGGAACTGCATTGCCGTCCAGGTCTGCATGCTCCAGATCCCCATCCTGGTGCTCTTCACCATCTTCTATGTGAGTAGCCCCAGGACACAGCCCCTGGGTGACCTCCTGCAGCAGGGTTGGGGTCTCCCTGAGACATAGCGAGAGCACAGCTGCTGTCCCCAGTGTCTCCTCCTCTGCTCAGTGCAGGGGAAGGTGGGGTCAGATGTCTCCTACCCTGGCTGATGCTGTCCTCAGCCCTAGGGACACGTAGCAGAGGGGGTTTAAGGGATAATGTGCGAATCTCCAACCACAGTCATTGCGGGGCTGTCCTCGTTGGCCATAAACCCCAAATTCTCTCTGCCCCGCAGCCGACCAACTTCACGCTTGTCTTCAGCGACCTCCATGTCTACGCCAGCATGTTCAGCGTGGTGCTCATGAACTACATCTTCATGGACGGCAAATGTGACTACTTCCAAGGTAACTGCTTGCCTGTGAGGCTGCTGTGGGACTTGGTGTACCCACTTTCCCTGTGCTGATGGGGTGGGGGGCTCCTGGAGACAATTTCGGGGTCATCTGTTTGCTGCAGCTCTTGGCATGTGGTGGCTCGAGCAATTCTGGGGTCTTGGTTGACTATCCTTGGAGGTGCTGGAGCTGCCACCCTGCAGCAGCTCCAAGGCGGGGCTCACTCCCTTTTTACCCTTAGGGAAGGAGTTTTAAACCCCTTTTTGAGATTTTTGCAGAGGACCACGGAAGTCCTCTGCAGTGGGCTGGTTCAGACCACACTAGACAGTCTTAAAAGCAACCTTACTCTTTGCTCCAGGGAGTAACCCCCTCCAATCTGCTCTGTCTGCCCTAGGCACGGTGCTTGTGATGGTCTACTTCATTCTCCTGGCTGTGTATTTCTTCGCCCCATCGCCCAATGGCTGCTGAGGCTTGGACTCTGCTTTCTCCAACCCTCTCATTGGGTTCAGCACCCATGAAGGTGTTATCCAGTGTCTCAGGGACTTGGCCAGGCTGGCTCTGGTCTGGAAGTTTGCTGAAGTCCCTGCTGCTGCCTGGTTCCCCCAGTGGGGTGCCAATGGGGCTTCAGCGATGCGAAGGGTGGTGGCAACGGAACCACTCCTGGACCAAGGAGTCTCAACACCAGAGCACTTCACAAGAGGTATTTCCAGCCCACACTTGTGTGGTTGGAAGGAAAATTGTCCTTAGTGGAGGGTCTTGAAGGAGGTTTCTGTGTGGTCTTCAGGACAGACCCCTCGCTTGGGATGTGTTGCACTGGGAGAAGGTGCCTGAGAAGAGGCTCTCGCTCTTCTAGGCAGTGAGTGATCCTGGGCCTAGAAGGGACTCGGGTCTGGGGATCACACCTTGATGGTACTAGAAATGCACCAAAAAGTATTTTTCAGCTGTTTTGTCATTAAAGCAGTTTTGTACAAATCAGAAACAAACTTGTTTCTCCTTAAACAAGCCTTCAGTCACCTGTCCAGGCCCTGCTGTGCCCACCACCCAAGTTAGTGATGGTCTTGGAGTGATGGCCACTTGGTGCCCGCCATGGCTGGCTCTCAAAGTGCTGAGCGCTGGGCACCAGCAATGACTCGGTTAGAGCCAGCATCCCTGGGAGCGGAGCAGGACAGCACTCAATGCCCTCTGGCAGGGGAGATCCCACCACTGCCACAGGGACAGAGGCAGCAGTGGGGTGGCCGTGGGCTCCAGCTTTGTGACCTTCCCTAAGCTCCAGCTCTTGTTTCCAGCCTGGTCTTGTCTGATTGTCCTGGGTCATCCTTGCTTGGAGGTCTTTAACAGGCTCCTAAGAAGGGTCAGGGATGCTCCCGGTGCTGTTTGCAGGGTACAAGGTGGAACACACCAGGGACTGGCTCATCTCCCTCTGCGAAGGCAAATGACAGCGGGTGAGGTGAGAGGACAAAGCGGGTGGCTTGGACTGATTTATTATCAGAGCTTTTAAAAAAACCAAACAAAAACCCAAAACAACCTAAAATTAAAACACTGACAGATACATAAACACAGGCAATGCAGCTCCTGTGCCCCTTCTCCCTCCCCAGCCCTGCAGGGACATACTTTGGCATAAAAACCAGGGAGGGGACTGCTGCCCACTGCCTGCAATGTGAATGTTGGACTCTGGAAGGTCCCATAGCCAGTGGAGAAACAGGACTAGACTTTTCAAACAGCCCAGAGTAAGGCAGGCAGCCAGCAGCAGCCTGGGATCCCCCTCCCTCCCAAATGAGGGCAGCTGCTCGTTAGCAATTAATGATCCTGTTTTATCAAGCTTTTGTTGTTTTCCTAGTATAGCATCAATATGGACAATCCTGCTGTCATTAATGCAGATGTCTGGGAAGATTCCTGGGTGAGTACCTGGAGTTGGCCGATGGCAGCGGATGGGCTCAACAGCACAGGGCAGTAAGAGAAGGAAAAGGAGTAGGATGGGTGGGCAGAAGATGATGGCACCAAGCAGGTTCTCCTACATCTCACCTGAAGCTAAACCGAAAACATCTACCCTGGGGTGAGGGATGTTTGGGACTTCTCCTGGAGCCAGACACAGCCTTTGTGTTTAGGAAAGCATGGTAGGGCCAGCACTGCGGGTCTCTTCCCCAGTGTCCTGCTCTGCAGCAGGTCAAGCCCAGCAGTAGCTGCTGGTGGCTGTAAGGATGCCCCAAAGAAGTCCTACGTTGCCTCGAGCTGCTCTGCTTGGTGCTGGGAGCAGGGCTAAGTCGTGGGGTGAAGGCAACAGGGCTGTCCCACAAAACCCTGTTCTGAGATGGCTTTCGCTGTGTGTCCTGTCCTGGGCAGCATTGCTGATGCTCTTAACTCCTCTCCACCCATCAGTTGCTGCAGCTGCTGAATCCTTTCCCAGTCCCTTAAGGAAATCACGGCCCTGTCCTGGCAAAGACAGTAACACATCGATCTTCTGCTGTCACATGTGGAATTGCACAGAGGGAGTTAACTTGCCCTTAAAAGGGAGAAACCAGTACTTGGGCATCACCTGGGCTGGAGGTGAAGACAAGCAGGAGATGGAACAAGAAAAGCCTGGAGCCATACATCCTTCAAGCTGCACCCCAGAGCAGAGCCTCTGCCACCGTGAGCCAGCAAGAAGCTTTTAGAATTCAAAAACTCAATACGCAGTACACTAGCAGCAACTCAAGCAAACCCTCAAAAGGGCACTGTGAGCTTTGCAGTGCTTAAAATAAGTGTGTGTGTTTTGGCAGCGTGTTTTGGCTTTTTTGTTTGTGTGTGGTTTTTTTTTTTTTTTTTTAGGAAGAGCCTCCAAGAGCTTGTGGTAAGGGAGAGGGTCGTGAACTCCCATCAGTGGACAACGCTTATATCTGCTTTTATCAGCAAATCAAGTCCCTGGTCCTTTATTCCGTAGAGCTCCTGGCTGTGCTACCCTAATTCCTGTCTGCTGGGGATGCAGCATGGCTGGGTTGGAGGGATAAAACCAGCTCCAGGCCAGAGGTGGAGGGCACAGGCAGGCTCTGGGCTTGTACCTTCAGTGGTCTCCAGCCAGCAGAAGAAGCATGGGCATTTGCGTTTGGGTGACCCCCATAGCGTGCTGCAGGGATGTCAAGGGCTGTATCATCCTGCCTGGGTGGCGGAACATGTTCCATGTCAAGATTTGAAGCTAAGACTAAGTGACAGTGTTACAGGTGTCAGTACGGAGCCCGGCTGAGGCCAGATGTGCCCCGGGTCAACATCCACCACCATTTTACCTACATTCACATCGGGGGAAAGCTCCTGGCTGCCCCCATAAGGCTACCAGAGCAAAGAAGACATTAGAGCTCAAGGAATCTGCTTGATTGGACATCCAGGCTTGGCTGGTTTTAATACTGTCGTGGTGATGACAGGAGATGCTCTTTAAAGTAGGTAAGGGAAGAACCATGTATAACCAGGCAGTTCCAGTATAAAGCTCCCAGCAAAGATTAAGTGCAGACATTCAGCCTCTGCCAGGGGTGAGAACCACTGAGTTCAGGCTAGAAGAGGGAGCTGGAGAAAATGCCCACTGGCCCAATTTGGCTCTGCAGAAGAGCACACCACAAGCCAGGGGCAGGAGAGCAGGTAACCCTTCCCCAGCTCACGGCTAGGTTCAGGTCCTTAGCCAGGAACAGTGGGATGCTGCAGCAAGCAGCCAGGGAGGCTCTGAAGGGGCTGAAATAGGATGATAATACTCCCCAGGAGCAAAGGATTTCTGCCCAACAGGCGCTTAGCTAGAAGCCAGCCTAAACAGAGTTGGGGACTGCACCGCTGAGGTGCCCAGCTTTGCCCTGGGAGCCGCAAGTCCTGCACGAGTACAACAAAGGGGCCCCGTGCAACAGCACTACAAGCAGCTGCCACCGCTTTCTGTGGTCCAAAGCACCAGAGAATGCTTCAGCTGTGATGCCCAACCTTTATTTTTCTGGGCCTTGGGAGGAAAACAAACTCCAGCAACTGAGGCTACAGAAGGGGGGGGGAAGGAAATCTATCCCCGAGAATAGGGGAAGCTTAACATTGGGGCAAGTGGTAAGCCTTCAGCTGAACAGTGGGGTGGGCGCTCTCTAAGATAGGTAGCAGGGACTTCATCATCCAGTGCTGTTCAGATCAACAACATGAAGACAATGCTATGGTTTATTTAAACATAAATGTAATTTCTTAAAAAGAAACTAAAACCCCAGAGTCTAACCTTTGCCTTTGATGATGGAAGGGGAAGGTACTAGGAAAAGATGACCTAAAAAAAAAGGCACTTAAAAATGGTCTTCAACTGAAAAGGGTTTTGCACAAACCTGATGTCAGCCACCTGGAGCTGCTCAGAGTTCAAGAGCCACTTACACATGGTCTCTAGAGCTCACTTCACAGTATATGGAGCACAGCAAGGCAAGAGCCATACATCCTCCTACCTGGGCAGAGATGACCACTGCTCCCAGCAAGAGGGAGAGATGGTCTTGACCACTGCTCCCAGCAAGAGGGAGAGATAGTCCCTCTCTCCTTTTTTTTTTTTGATGCTGTGTTTCCTGGGATGAGCGATCCATGGATTTCCAAGGATCCATATTAAAACCACATGCAGCAATAACTTCCCCCAACCCTGGAGGAACATGGAGCTAACTATTTTTTTTGATGCTGTGTTTCCTGGGATGAGCGATCCATGGATTTCCAAGGATCCATATTAAAACCACTTCCCCCAACCCTGGAGGAACATGAAGCTAACTAGAAAAAGGCCAACATGTGATGCGTGGGAGGAAGGAAAACAGAAAGCTTATAGGTACACCTTAAGAGTCAGATGCTGATAACCAGGACTTGAGCTGGCATGGGTAGCTCACGCTCAAGCACTGGGTATGACACACTGCAGGTTACAAGACAGCTCTGAAATCTACAGGGTGGGTTTTTGCTGTTAGCTCATTCAGAGTGCAATGTGAGCAGGAAGGGTCAAAAAAGATTCAGCAAACCCTTTTTCCTCTCCCCTCACCACCCTGAGTAAACTACACAGTAGTCCACTACATGGCAACTTCTAACCAGTCTTCCAAGCAAACCTTTCAATATGAAAATGTGAGGAACACAGACACGGGGTGTTTCAAATCACTGCACACTGCACCAGAAAAGCTGCACAGGCAAAGCTTCACTCACTGCCCTGTGTGACGTTCCAGCCGTCTTCTGAAGCTCAAAGAGATGGGAACATGCCCGTGAAACACATGCAAAGCCTTCAAGCGGAAGGAGTTCTTGGTTTTATAGAGGGAGAGCTCAGCTGGGCGTTAGGGGGGATGAATGTTATCCAAAGCAAAAGAAGTAGTCAGCTGTTGTTCTGCACTGAACGTCCTCTGTTAGATACATCTTGTGAAAATACTAAGCTGAACGTGCCACGTGTAAGCATGGGCTCAGACATTCGCTAAGCTCCCCACCCTCCCCAGTTAAGTTGCAAGCATGTGCTGATGACAGTTTGATGGCTGCGTGTT